GGAAACTACCATATAACCCCTGCATTACCATTATACCCCCCTGTAACTACATTACCATTATTACCCCTTCACAACTCCTGTCAAGTCCCTCCTAACCCCTCTATAACCCCTTTATAATCCCAAGTGACCTCTGAATCGTCCCTAATCCCTATGTAAATCCTATATAGTGATCCCTACATAACTTGTACAGAATCCCCAGATAGTCTGTATAGAGTCCCTATAACCCCCTTATGACCCTACATGGCAGGTTTGATGATTTTCCAAGGATAGCGCCAAGAGCCAACCGCCGATTGATGGCACTCGTCGCCTTCGACCACTTATTGGTTCTCACTAGGTAATAAGGGTATATCCTGTATAGGCGCCGGAGGCGGACCTGGGAGAAGGGGTGGCATAGAGCATGGCGATATAGGGGGCGTATACCCTTGTTCCCGACTACTAAGCACCAGTAAGTCCAACTATCCCCAAGACGAACGGCGTCCTACTCACGAGATTCAAACCCTCGTTTGTCTCAGCACAGCGAACCATATCTAGGATTTGGACTATGCACGCCCACGATGAGGTGGTCAGCTTGCTCATGGGCTTCGCGAAGGATGTGAGCCTGTGACAGGACCCAAGCCTCCAAACAAAAAGCATCGAGACACCGGGCCTGCGCATCGTGCAGGAAGCACCAGGAGCCGTCCACGTAGACCACAGTGGCGCCTGGTCTTCTCCGCTGCAGCCGTTAACAACACATCGCACGGCCGGTTCGCCTCTCGCTGAGGCCTCCCATGGCATCTCCAAGCTCGAGCACGCTGTGACCTTAGCTGTTGGCCCTTTGGCAGCTTCTGCTCCACCGCCCGTTGATATGAAGGTCCCTGGCACAGCTGCGAAAGCCTCCAAGAGCGCAAGCACGCATGGCAAGGCAAGGGTTTATCCAGGCGTGAGCAATGCCCAGGCCTTCCAGCTCTGCTTGCGCTGTGAGCCGCCTCTTGCGGTCCCTGTATTGGTCCCACCTGATAAACGCATCAGCGAGATGTCTTCTACGCCATCCAAACCTGAGCCGCCAGCTGCATCAGCACCAGGGAAACCTTTTGTTTCAGCGCCTGTCAGAGCAGCTTGAACGAGGGTGGCAGCTGCGGTGTATCCCTAAACACTATGGCAATTCACTCAGTACCCCGACTCAAAGGCACTCCCGACGTACCCAACTAGTGCTCGATGAAATAAGCGCGTTGTTTTGTGGTACTTTGTGTTCGTGATGCAGCATTGCATGTGCAGCAGCATTTGGAATTCTTACAAAGCTGCAGATGGAGTAATCCTATCACATTTGTAGCTTCTTAGCAAAGCTACATGCGCCATGCACCAAAGGATTTTGAAGCTCACAGCTGCTGGAGCTTTCCAAACATGGTCTATAAACTATTCAAAGGCTGTAGATCATCTTCAAAGCTGCCGCGACAGCAAACTACAGCATCAATAAGGTTTAGGGTTTAGGGTTTAGGGTTTGTTAGCCTGCCAGTGTAAGCTACTTGTTGCATTGGAATTACAGTAGGAAACTAGCTTTGCAAATGATGTTTCAGAGACAGGACATGCTTACATACGGAGGTTACATGTAGACGCCTATATACCATTGTCCTTACTAAGGCGTCCTTCGAAACTGGACATCAAATTTTGGGAAACCCTAAACCCTAAATAACCTATATAACCCTATCTGACCCCTACATCCCCACATAGAAACTACGACAAACTCATAGAAGTGCCGAGGGCGGTAGGCTCCAGAAGTCAAAGGACACACTCATCCGGGGGTACATACGGATATGTAAGGGTATATGGGGTATATAGGGGTATATGGTAGTTTCCCAAAATTAGGGGTAACTTTTTAGGGGTCCCCATAATAAGGACTGTGGTATTTTGGGGTCTACATTTGGGAACCTTAATTTAGGGAAACTACCATATAAGGGAAAACAGAGTCAATAAGGATATAAAGGGCCACAAGGAGCCTGGCTTGGCATATGGGCGGCTTCCCGAAATTAACTGGTTTCCCAAAGTTGAGGGTTACCTCTTCTGGTGGTCCCCCAGAATAAAGGCTATAGAATTTTGGGTCTATATTGAGGTCCCCCTATTTACGAAAACTACCAAAACCCTATAAACCACTACATAATCCTAGCTTCCACATCATTTTCCATTTTCTTTTCCATTTGACAGGGGGCAATTATCCCTAAATCGCAAACGCCAAACCATAAACCCTGAACCACAAACCCCATGCATAATAGGGACTGTAGCTTCTTCGGATCTGTCCTATTTCGGGAAACTACCAACCCGATGCAGCCCAAACACCATCATCAAAGAGTTGAAGAGAACTGTCTTGTAGCTCATGATCCAGACCTTGGGTTTAGGGTTCAGTGTTCAGAGTTGAGGGCTTTTTGCGGTCGTCTGAAAACGCTTTTGGCACCTGAGGCGCCAGCGCCTTGATAAAGACCAAGCCACCCGCTTTTTCGCACTATTTCGGCCTCAGCCGCAGACCCAAATGCTTACCCAAAGGATCCAAAAAAATCGACTCCAACAATCCCGAATTGTCCTCAATGTAGTAATGGTCTCATTTTCGGGGGGTCCATTTTCTGAATCTAGGTTTAGGGCTTAGGGATGCGAGTGTAAGGAGCTTGCGAGCATGCCCCATAAGCCCAAATGGTTTCCGCCGGTCGTCTGAATGACGGCCTGCGGTGTCACTTTCACAACGTGGAAGGCCCTAAACCCTAAACCTAGCTTGAAGTTGCGCACCTTGGCGCGAATAAGCGGGTAGGTCAGCAGGGTGGCTACCGCTTTGGACACGCCAGATATCCAAAACCTGGCTTTGAGCAAACAAGTTGGTTCAGGCCTATCAGTGTTTAGGATTTAGGATTTGTAGTCCCCCTTAAGCAGATAGAATACGGGATATATGGGGATCTTGGTATAAATTACAAAAATGCCATATTCTATCTACTTCAGGGGGACTATAGGGTTGAAAACCATTAATTTAAGAAGCACGCCAGCCGCACATGTCGGAGGAGCTCAGATGACAGTGAGTGGTCCGATCTCGTAAGACCTGACTTCAAGATGTTACAGACATGCACTGGGTCCTGCCCCCCACCCATTGACAGTCTATAGTAGGAGTCATATTAAGGGCTCTATATGAGCTATGTTCTAAACTCCTAGTATCCCGCTTAATAAGCCCTAGAATACTCCTCGATATAATCCCCTATAGAACCCCCTTGAAGGAGTTTAGACAGTAGCTCATATAGCTATGCTATAAATACTATCCAGGTGTTAATGAGTGGGGGCAATACCCAAGACATGCAAAATACTGAATTCCGAACCTTGATGAGGTCAGACAGCTTCCCAACCTGACTGCTCCAAACTGGAAACAAGTTGTTCCACAAAAGGATTTCGGTAACCCAGAGCTGTAAACTAGGACGCGGAAATTAAAATGACCTTCATATCTTTTGTAAAAAAGTTCTTCTTTTGGGGTTTTGCGGTTTTTCGAAAGTCTCTTATTCTTGTTTGCAATCTGAATTTTGAGTCGGCGGCCAGCGTGAACATCAGCGCAGGGTTTAAGGATAGTAGCAGCGCTACTGGAAGCCTGAGCGGAAACGTGTGAAGTAATCTAATATGGGTTTAGGATTTAGGGCTATAAAATGTATAAGGTTTAGGGATATTACCCCAATAATGGAAAATGAAATGGAAAAAAACATGGAAAATGAAATGGACACTGGGGTTACATGAGCCATTGTCTAAACTCCTAATATCCCCCTTAACAACCCCTATAGTAGTCCCCTATATAATCCCCTATATAACACATACCCCCATATACCCCAGTATACCGCTGCGTACCCTTTCTCTCCCTATGTATCCTTTTCCCCCTATATACCCCATTTTCCCTGCATACCCTATGTACTCCTATCTATATATTTATATATATATATTTATACATGTACATATATAAATTTATTAGCCTTTCTAACTCCTGCATACCCTGCATGGCAGACTCTCCAACACAGGCTTGATTCCACGCGCCAAGCCCGGCACCCTCTCCAAAGCTCTGCGGCCCCTCCTGTACCTTGAACGTCTTAGGGGTGTATAGGGGTGTACAGGGTATATAAGGTATATAGGGTTTAGGATCTAGGGTGAACGTCTTAGGTGTATAGGGTATATAGGGCATATAGGGTTTAGGGTTTAGGGTGAACGTCTTAGGTGTATAGGGTATATAGGGCATATAGGTTACCTAGGGGTACATGGGGGTATAGTGTGGTATAGTCGCACTACAGAACTAAGATTTTCGCTACAGCTGAAGATTCAGGGTTTAGGGCCCATTGCTGTAATTCCTGCATTGCTCATAGTAACTATCATTACTAACTACTTTACTGCATGATGCTCTCACTATTCCTACTACATGATTGTTTTTGCAATCATTGCTAAATGTGTATTTTTGTAGCTGCTACATGGTTATCAACATTATTATTGCTATTAATCGGTGTTGGGCCAATTGCAGTGAAAGAGCCAAAATGCTTTTAGTATTATTATCGTTATTATCATTGTAATCATGATTATCAGTATTATTACAATCATTATTACTAGTACTATTTTTCAAATTAGCGCAACACTGGGGTGCGCACGCGCCATACGCACAAAGGTACTGAAGAAGCCTCTTGATGCTGGATCGGCCTTACTCGCACCGACACTCTGCAATGGCCGGATGCTCTTCTCAGGAATTGCAGACTAGCCTGATTGACGTTCGCCACGACATCGAACGGCGTTGTGAGTATTCGGTTGAACCTTGATATGCTGGTCTCAACATCACGGTATTTAGGGGCATACAGGGATTCATAGGTATTATTGAGGTAGATAGGGGTATATAGGGGTATGGCTCTACACGTCAGGCAACCAAATGGGGAGCCGAGGCGACAGCTGCTGCGCAAGCATGTTGACAACCAGCGCGGCAATGGTCCCGAGCCTCTGATCTGCTTTGCTGCCTCTACATGCCCCTGAATGCCCCTATATACCCCTCTATACCCCTACATACCCCTATATACCCTTAAGTACACCTAAACACCCCTAATTACCCTTATTGTATTCCTATATACCCTTGTATACCCCTCTATACCCCTATATACCCCTTAAGAATCTCAGTTCGAGACTTTTGGCAGTCAGGTTCGTGCACTTGAAGCTGACGTAGACTCAGCTGCACGAAGATCGTCTGCCAGACGAAGAACCCAACCTCATTCATGGGCCATGTTTAATCCCTATATGATATAGTAGTTTCCATTTTGTTTCTTCCATTTCCCCTATATAACCCCAATATGACGAACAACCCAACCTCTTTCTGATAGTCGCCGCAACCATGCTGAGATCAGGGAGTCCGTTTGCAAGAAAGCCATGTGAGCTAAAGTCAAAACTCCTTAAGGGGATTATATAGGGGACTACTATAGGGGTCATTAAGGGGAATACTAGGAGTTTAGACTATGGCTCATGTGATAAGCGCAGCACATTGGAGGTAATGGTCTGAATTAAGCGCCTGCGCATATGCTCAGCTCGCTTCCGAAGTCCCAATGCGCATGGAACAGTGCAGACCACTGGCGCACCCAAGCAAGCCCTTGTACAGGCCGCCCAGGCCCTGCTGTTGAAGCAAACGCTTCCTGGGTCGAGGACTGCTGGGTAACTAACGTTACCTTGGGTTAGCAGTTAGCAGGGAAGGAAGGAATGGAAAAGAACATGGAGACTACCATATTATTGGGGATTGATAATATCCTAGGGCAGTCCCTTTGTAGTTATATTAGGGACTACCCTAAAGATACATTCCTTCCTTCCTGGTTAACCATTTCAGAGGTAAGTGACTTTTGGCATTCCCCCAAGAGTGCTTACCTTGATGGCTCTTACTGTGGAATAAGAGCAAACAATTCCAATATACTCCCCACATGAGCTATAGGCTATAGTCTAAACTCCTAGTATCCCTCTTAATACCCCCCTATATAACCCCTTTTAAGGAGTTTAAACTATAGCTCATACTGTTGATGGACGGAATCTTGCACCACCTCAAGTCCCTAGAGTCCTAGGAAATACAGTAGTCTAGGGCCCTTAGGTGGTGCAAGATTTCATCCATCAACAGTATAACAGGTTCCCTGCTTCCCTGTTAACCCCCAGTAGGCTGCTCAGACCCCCACGCAACCAAGGCAGCCTCAGTTGCAAAACTTGATGGTTCTCAGTAGGGAAATATATTGGGATATATAGATATATGTATACATGAATTTAACTATATGTATGTATATAAGGTTTAGAGTTTAGGGTAAGTAGGGAATAGGAGAACATATTGGATGTATACATATATCTATAGGGGTAACGGTAAAAAGATGGGAAGTACTGAGTTGTAGTAGGGTACATATTGGAGTTATAGTAAGGAATAAGGGAATACGTTGTATAGGGAGTATGATGACATAGGGACTGCACTCCCATATTCCCTACTAACAACCAGGAAGAAAACGAGATGTCAGAGTCTGCCAGCAGTGGCAAGAATTGGCTGAGGACGGTTCAGATCCTCCATACACTTGTTGCTGCAGTTTGATTGTGTCAATCCTCAGCACGATTTGCGAGCTCCCCTTAGGATTTCCTTTGGACAAGGACCTTTGACCCACATGGAAAGGCCCAGGCGGAAAGAGAATGGCTTCAGCTCCAACCGAGCCTCACTGGATCACGAATACGCACACACCGGTAAGGTCTGACGTCCCGCATTGATCATAGTAATAGTAATAGTAATAGTAATAGTAATAATAGTAATAGTAATAGTACTAATAATAGTGTAGTGTAAAGGCTTCGAGGCTTCAACTGACCAGTCCAGAACGGACCTGTCATGATAAGACTGTAAAGTGCTGCAGCATCTGGCACAAAATTAGGAGTCTGAGGGCCATGGCCTCTTGCCAAACCTGCAGCAATTTCCACTATTCTACCACATCACAGCCCCATGAGGAATATGCCATGTCACAGGGCCTTCTCCCACACTGACAGAGATGCCATCGTGGATACTAATTCAGCACGCTCCAAAGCTCATGCAAACTTCAGCATTTTGAGTAACTGTCAAGAAGTAGGAGGCCATAAGTAAGTGTTTGACGTGTGTCCGTGTTGGTGTCACGTTGTTCACCATTGGGTATCTTGCTTCTTCCATGAAGGGCTGGCCAATTGCACCCTTATTTCGATGTCAATTCACCTTCAAGCAGCAGTGGCAGCAAAGTCCTGTTCGAGCAACCCAAGCAGTAGCTACGCCTTGTCTGCTTCAGGTAAAAGGTGACTCCAGAAAAACAAGCATGATGGCTTGGCGAGACAGATGCCGGAGCTTTGTAGCTCATTTGCTTCACAGGTCTGGCTGGTGCTTACTTTGGCCCAGCAGACGATGTCCTGTGCAGACCACATATAACTTTGCATGTTGATCTGCCAAGTAGCCCAATTCATCTAGCTTTCGCGATGTAGTCACGAGTAAGCGTCCTAGCGTTGACGTATGCGGCGACAAATGGATGCGGGACCTCTGGGGCAGCTCAGAAAGGGCACATACGCACTGTGTCATGCGAAACACGACTTCTGTGACATGCTGAGCCCGCTTCAATGCTTCCCGCACCTGGCAAGGCTCTCTACAGGGTGTGTGCAGCGATCATATTGGGTTCATATAGTGATTTCATGAGGATCATATACAATCCTCAAGGGTAACTGGGTGAAAGGTTTGAGAGCTTGTTCGGGTGCCTGCTCTTCGATGTCCTGCGTGCGCCGTTTTGCAGTGGACTCCTGGCACTTGTCTAGCCCCTCTCTTCAGGTGAATTCAACTCACACCGATGTTTGCATGATTCCAACCCCAAATCCATAAAACAGCCAGCTTTGCGATCTCCATTTTGGCACGGTGGGCCTGACGCTTCGGTGCAGAGATGTCAAGCGGCAAACGTGAATGCAAACCAGGCATCGATGAGGCTGATCACGCGAACACCCTCCGCCTTTTCACTTCCCCCCCTGCCTTCTCCAGCAGAGCACGCTGGGATTCCCTGAGATACAGAAAGCTGTGGCGCTTTACTTGGTTGTCAGAGAGGCTGCAAGGCACCACCTCCACATGTCTTCTGCAGCACGCAGGGATTCTTGGTGCACTTTAGCCTGACATTCCAAGCACACTTCCTGTTGGGTTTAGGGTTTAGGGTTCAGGGTTTAGGGCTAGCAGCTGCTGCAATGCAATGTGCCTTTTCGCGCTCCATGTGCACCGCAATGGCTGTGGCAGCCGCGTGTCCCAGCCGGGCCTTCCTCACATACGGATATGATATCAAATACTGCTATTATTGCTATTATTTCTATTATCACTTTTATTACTGTTACTACGATTTTTATTATGATCACTATTACTACTATTACTACTATTACTACTATTATCTAACATTGCTACTATTGCTATTGTTACTGTCATTCTTTCTACTATTGAACTATTGCTATTGTTACTGTTATTATTGTTACCATGGTTACTGTTACTATTATTGTTGCTAGTATTGCTACTGCTTCAATTATGAGACTCCAGAAGTTGCAGAATGCCAACGGATTTTTCAGGAGAAGGCTCTGCATCCGCCTCATGCCCTATAGCATGGGCCTGACCGCCATGGAAACATCATGAAACCAAGCTTTACTGGGGGTTGGTAACCCTGAACCCAAAACCCACAGACCCTCAACCCTAAACCATAAACCCTATGCCATACATGTTATATACATATATGTGTATATACATATATATACATATATATATATTCATGTATTTCTTTATCCATTGGGATTATATTCCCATATTCCCCACTAACCCCCAGAAACCAAGTGGCATGGGAACTGACCCGCCTGCAGGTCCTCCTGGCGCTGCAGCTGGGCCTTGGTCCCAAGCCTTTCCCACGCTGGTGTTGTAACACATATGGAATAATAGCAATAACGCTAATATCTTCCGACAATAAAAAGAACAGCAAGGATAGTAGTAGCAATAAAATAAGAATAATCATGACAGTGCACTACTACTACTACTACTACTACCAATAAATGTAATAACAGTTCTACTTGTAGTAGTAATGCTAACAACACTACTAGTTTAGTGCTAGTACTAGGACTAGTAATGGTAGGAGTTTTTCTGGCTGTCCGACATGGCGGTCTTTGGCCTGCAATTCCACCTCCTTCTCGGCAAGCTGGAGATGGTTCTCAGCCTCTCAAACAAAGCATGCGGACGTCTCAGCCAGGAAAGCTACTTTTCGTACGTTACTATAACTACAACTATTCCTACAATGATTATTGGCGTTACTACTATTACTATTATTCTTCTTACTATGATTACTATTACTGCTATTGTTACTCTTATTACTATTGCTACTATTATGACTATTCTTACTATTATGACTATAATTATTATTAGTACTGTTATTACTCTGATTACTATTTACTATTCTTACTATTCCTGCTAATCTTATTATTAATACTATCATTACTATTATTCCTATTACTCGTGTGGTATGCCTGCTTCAGGACATTGCCCCTCTCATTCTGGTACCTTCATTGTTGCAGGAGCCATGCGACTGAACAAGTGGTGCGGAAGCCAATGGCGCACTTGACGTCGACGTTTGCGAGCTGCTTTGCAACGCCTGCATCTATCTCCTGCCCGATTGTTTAGGGTTTTAGGGTTTAGGGTTTAGGGCTTGAGGGTTTAGGGATTCTGTCACGCATCACTCAATTGCAGAATCGCCCTCAAAAAAAGCACATGGACCAACTGCATCCCTCCACTCATGGTTGCTCACCAGAGCAGTTCTCCTTCTTTTTTCGCTCTGCCTCCGCCAGGATGTAGTGGTGGTCAAGGACCTCAAACTTCCAGGCACACTCTTGAAAAGATGACTCAGAACCACGCCTGGGGCTCATGGCGCCCCAAACCATCATTCACATGGCCTGCAAATGCAGCAGCCCAACAAACCGCTGGTGCTGGATCATCCCCTTCTTGAGGGCTGCCTGTGAACAGGACACCCCTCAAAGGGTAGAATCATCTGCCCGCCATCCCCAACATTGAAATTATCCGCCGACCCCTGGGGCCGGCGCCCAGTTCCCTTGGCTCCCTCACCATTTCCCC